GCACGCTGTTTTGCATTTTTCTTCATCTTTGTCTGAACTTTTCTCTTGTTTTTGCAGACTATATTGCTCTTGAACTTCCTTCGCTACATTGCTTATATAGTAAAGAATGTTTTCTATCGAATTCAAAAATGGTTGTTCAGCAAAAGGTGTAAAATTCTCGTAAATGAAAACTTCACTTCGTTCGCCTCCATCGACTACATAATTTTCCTTTCTTGTCCGCTCTTGAAGTAGATCAACAAGGACCAATCAGGTGCCGTGTAATATGTGCGCGCGTTGTGATTGGTTGTCTAAAAATAGATTATCGGGACATCTGATGGTGTCGATATTATTGGGGAGATGGACACTTCTGGTTATGTACTTCTGGTAACGATTGTGAGGCTACCTATATTTGTAAGACCGGGAGATCTTTTGAGACTAGAAAGAAAGAACACCAGAAAGCAGTTCTAACCCAGGATGATAAAAATAACATCGCTATGCATTATACCAAGACTGGCCACTCGATCAACTGAGATTCTGGTAAATGTCTATCTTTTTGTGTAAACAGAAAGAAAAGACTAGTCCTTGAAAGTTGGTTTACMAAAGCATAAATCAACTAACCGATCAATTAAGCTACCAACGCCAWACAATCGGCTTGTAAACAAACTTGACAATCATAACCACAATATTAATATACAATCATAATCCTATTGTGKGTCTGCATTGTTTAAGCGGTCCGTTCTGGTACCGCTAATTACSTAACACCTATTGATTAGCGTATAAATCAGGGCTAACCTGACTGTTTCCTCACTTGACTGTGGAAATGATTACGCCGCACAGGTGGTCGAAACGTCAGTCACATCAAACAGTTCTTCTCAGAACTACATCCATTTGTTGCAACAAATCGCATCGTTTCATGCCGTATTTTCTTTTGATTCATAAGCTTGTCCGAACTATCTGGCAAAAATTCCATACAATTTTTATATATTCTATTCTATTTTGCTTCCTTATTTTGATATAATTGTGTTTATTGTGCAMGGTGTAATCCACCTACACAAGCAGATTATTTTTGAAAAGTCATATTTCATAAGTTGTGTGTATTTATTTGCAACTGTTTTTAGGTGCCAAGGATGAGTGTGTGTTGAATATTGCAGTGTGTGAATTGGCYGGCCAGCTACCGCTAAAAAGTAAGAGATATCATTATGTTAATAGTTGTTTAAAAGAATGATTGTCATCAATATACTTACTATGACAAAAAGCAAACTACCCYATTGAAAACACGAGCCTAGTTGGCGAAAAAGGGCTTTGGGAACCAAGCAGGTTGCAAATCAAAACATTTCAGCCTTGTAGCGGACTGACCAACCACGACTTGGTCACACCAGCMAATATTCAAACAGTGATCTCAAAATTGTTTGCATTTCCATGCGCGCAAAAATCCATCGATTTTTCTCAAATTTAAAAGCCTTAATATATAGATTTTTAGCATTCTACGTTTTAAAAATTACACAAATCCGTCGACTGAGACCATCGCTACAAAGCTGATTCGAAAACGCACTTTTTTTAAAGATTTTTATTTCAATATAATGAATATAAATAATACTACATTACATTTAGTGCAACAAA